GTATCCATTAAAAATAATTTTGAAAAATGGATGAAAAGGTGGGCTAATATATTTGCAGCACAACTGAAAATGGAATTGCTAAATTTGTTCCTAGACACAATCTTCAAATGTATTCATATCCTGTAAATATCCTAACCAACCAAATTAATCAGAAGTCCCGGGTGACTGTGGTGTCCATTATCAAGGTGCCCAAAGCTAACGAGAAGGTTTTGTCCACATTTGAATGAGGAAGTAACATTTTGCTGAAATTTAATGTCAGTAAAGTGATTTAGGAGGCTAACTCACACCCAAGGACAACAATTGAAAATCTTTAAAAGCTTTGCATGAAACATAAACTCACCTTTGGTGTGATTAGCACAGAAGGCAGAAGCTTGTGCTGGAAAAGAATGCAAACCCTTCAGTGAATAGAAATCGCTCTGTTCTGTTTAGAGGTGTTTGCATTCTCTGATCCTCATGTCCTCATTAGAAGTGATGGCGAGATGGCTTCCAGAATTTACCCAGGCTTTTTTTTTTCCAAAAAACCGATGCTTCTGTCAAGGAGTTCAGATGTGTTCTTTGTGGATTTTATAGAAGATTAGTAGTACAGTACAAAGCCAGGATCAAGTTTAATAAGCATAAAGTTACGAGAGTGAGCTGAAAGTAACAGATCGCAAACACAGGCCTCACAACCATTAAATCTGCAAGAAGCAGTGGGCAGTATCCCGGCAATAGTTAACGAACCTATTAAAAAGTTACAGGAAGTGCCTCTTTGAGGTTACCAAAGCCAAAGGAGGAAATAACAAAATGCTGATGCCATGGTATGAATAGCTGTAACATTCTATATTTAGAAATACACATGTTCTGTTTACACAGACAAAATTGAAAGTCGGGCACATGTTTAGATGTTGATTGTATTTGTACTGAAAAGTACTTAATGTAATCACAATTTAGTTGCTGTTCCTCAAGGGTATGAATGAATTTGAAGATTACTGTAAATGCTGACCTGTATAAATGCAGTTGCCTCATAGAGATTAAATCTCTGTTTTAGTCATGGATATTAAACAAGTGGGAGAAGAATATTTTCAGGAAACTGGCGGAACATCTTGCAGGCAATCGCCGATCATCTCTCCAGCCCTGATCAGTCTGCCACGCACTGCTGGAACGAGCAGGTGTAAGAGCTCATGACTCCGGAAGGCACAAATGCACAGTCATTTGTCATTGGGATGAACTGAGATTATATCAGCAGTAATAAAGTGACATCCTTATTTGTCACTGCTTGAATAATGGCAGCAACTTTCGTTTAAATTGCCTACTAATTCACATTCATTATGAGCTCTGGCAGACTCTGAAATCATTTTGATAGATTTGCCTAAGTTTTCCCCAAGGTCAAAACACATCTGAGATTTGTGTAAAACGCAGGACAGAGAAGCAGACAGGGTGTGGAGTTGGTGATTTGCCACAGTACAGATTTAAGGGCTGGTGAACTCATCCTGGACTTTGGAAAAAATCTAATTAAACTTTTATTGGTTATTGCTTTTCTAGAGGTGGAGATAGCTGTTACTTACAATCCCGACCGAACTTACAGCATGGAGGTAAATCTTTTTACATTTTGGCCTTTTGCCTACAAGTCTAGTTTGAATGTTCAGTCTGCATATTCAAACCAGCTTTTCTCTGGGGACTGACAGTGGTTTCTCCTTTTTGTTATGTTTGTAAAACCATATCACCCTGCAACTCACAACTGGCAGCCCACTGATGCTAAGGTGTGAGCCTGGCCAGTACCTGGATGGGAGAGTCTTAGGAAAAGCTTAGGTTGCTGCTGGAAGAGGTGTTAGTGGGGCCAGTAGGGGGCTCTCACCCAGTGGTCTGTGTGGGTCCTAATGCCCCAATATAGTGACAGGGACGCTGAGGTCCTGACTCTGTGTTGTCATTAAAAATCGCAGGGTGTCTCTCGAAAAGAGTAGGGGTTTTACCCCGGCATCCTGGCCAGATTTCCCGTTGGCCCTTACCGATCAAGGCCTTCTAATGGCTTCATCACTCTGCTCTCCTCCCCACTGAGAAATGGTCATCCAGGTGGGGCTGCTCATTGGTGGTAGTGGTGGGGAAAAGCGCTTCAGTGGGGTGTCCAGACAAGCACTGTACTGTATAAGTGTAAGGAATGGTTATAATTATTATTATAACCCAAACCCTATCTCCTTGGTTTAAATCTTTGCAGCCTGTGATTCTTCTCCCTCTTTCTCTCATTACACAGTTTCCTAAAACCAGCCCAGTCTTTTCTTTTTCATTTACACTTGGAGTATAAAACACGTGTGCGGGTGAGATTGCAGTGTTTCAGGTAGAGATTAGTTTAAGTGCACTGGAGTCTTATTGCAATGCACATACAGGACCTCAGCGATACTGCATTGCAAGTAATAGATTGGAAGTGCTCTGATTTGCATGCTTTTGCTGCATTCTGCTTGTGTGTGAAACAAGGAAGAACCTAGGTGACCAAAATGGCTCAGGTGTTAGATACCATAAACCACCCTACATGGGGCCACTATCTCTCTTGTAATTCAGACGTGCATGTGTACAGAAGATCCTTGAAAATAAGAAAAATAGTGGTTTAGTTGTCAAACCTGTGTTCCACATGTCAGGAGTGCACCTTAGTGAGAGTCTCCTGAATGCATACTACTTTCCTATAGAAAATGCTTTGTTGACATAATGCCCAAGCCATTCATAAACACCAGAACAGGAACACTCCACACTTATGTTGACTGTGGCCCTATATATAAACTGACAAAGACAGCATCTGTGTGGCAGTAAGAGTGTCTGTGTTTCCAGGACTGATTCCTCCCTCTGTCCTTTCTTGTGCAGATCGGCGGACAGGTGTTCCAGGTGTCCGGCGATGTGATCAGGGAAGAAGATGCTTCTTACCTCAGATGCTCTGTCAATGGGGTCGTGTCCAGGCCCAAGCTGGTCTTCCTGGGTGACACTGTGCACCTCTTCTCCATGGTAACGAGTGCTGATTGGGGTGGACAGACACTGACAGATAGGCAGGGGCTTGTCTCCATAGGAACAGCAGCTCCTCTTGCCTGCTGGTAGGTGAGGCCCTGTTGCGTAGTTGCATACTCAGCCTCATCATGAGAGCAGCGCAGACTCGGTTTCTTTAAGGCAGGTTCCTGTGGCTCAGTAGCACCAGTTTTTTATTGAGTATTTGAACCGCTTGCAGGCAGTTCTCTGCACTCATCTACTGTTGACAGGAGGTTGTCCAGTTCTTTGCTAGGCTTTGCTTCATTGTGTGGCTCACCTGACCGCAGCCCTTCCTGCCTGTCTGTGCTTCTCCAGTGGGACGTGTGTCTTGGCTGTGAGTAGAAGCCAGACGAGGAGTCTTGGGGTGACCCTGCCCGTGCGGTGCTCCCCCGATTGCAGCGCGCGCGAGTCTCACCGCGCCCTGGCACTTGTTCTTGTTCCTAGGAGGGCAGCGCGCAGGTGTCCGCACCCGTGGCGAAGTTCCTGGCGGGGGTTGGCGGGTCGGTAGTACAGGCCGGAGCTGTGGCCCCCATGACGGGGACGATCGAAAAGGTTCGTCCACGCCCCCCCCCCCGCTGCTCCAGATCAGAACTCTGCATTCTTCGTGAGCTTTACCCATTCTTGCATTTGTGGCGCAGAGTGACCATTTTTTATAACGCGTGTTCAAACTTGCCAAACGTTCCTGCTCTTTTGACATTTCCAGGTGGTTTGGAGACATGGGCCAGAGCTGAAGGTCCTCACAGCGTGGGCTCCAGACCTGACACTTCCACAGCTCCCCTGCAGAGCAGCTTTACTTTTGTTGCGAAACAGGAGAAAATTTATTGTGATTCTAGGGTCATTATAGAGAAACTACACTGTGTTGCAGACGTGCAGAAATTTCCTGTTAGTGCTCCTACACACATATAAGATGCCCAATAGTGGTTTAATACTGTTTTGAATAAGAAATGAGAAGTAGCTTTTTTTACGTCCCCACATATGCAAAGAAACTTGGCCACATCCGTTCATAGTAAAGGCTAAGAGAAAGACAAGTCCATCTGGGCCGTCTAGTCAGGCAGTTTGTAGCTAATTTACCCAGCAACCTCACAGGCAGAAAGAAATCATGGTATCGCCTTCAACAACATGGCCTGCAGGGTAAAGACCAGTCTCCTGTCCTGGGTTCAAATGCACATTCCTGTTTCTTCTGGTTCATTTCTCAGCTCTTATCTCAGGTGTAGCCTGTTATTTCAGATGGTGGAGATGAAACAGTTGGAGTGGAAAGATGAAAGCAGTACTAAAGGAGGAGGGCGGATCGGTCGTCCTCCTCCTGTGAGGCTGATTTCTTCTCTTTCCCACAGGTTCTTGTTAAAGTGGGGGACAGAGTACGCGTTGGAGATCCCTTGGTAGTCATGCTTGCCATGAAAATGGAGGTGAGCTCATGCTTTGATCAAATCTTTTATTTTATTTATTTAATCTATAGGTAATAAGAAAAGAGTATTGTTAATAACATTATAGCAGATTTATAATCTTAATAAGACTTGAAATTATTAGTGTAATGTAAAGTCAAGTACAGCGTTTGCCAAACAGTGTCTTGTGCACCCCTGCATCCACCCAGCCATGCTGTTTGCAGTAATTCTCAGACAGAACCAGGGGAAAGAGGGGCTGTAATCGCTGTGCTTCTTGTCTTGTTACTCAATTAAGAGCATAAGGTTGTAAAAGAGAGGAGGGGGCCACTCGACCTATCAAGCAACCCTCGCAAACCCGCCGATGGGTGGAAGCTTGTAGCTTGAAGCTTGTTTAAATTGAAAACATTTTTGGGGTTTTTATTTATTCTGAGCTGGACTTGGTGACCAGCAGCTTCCAGGGTTTGATTTACAATCCCCTGGGAGGCCAGGCAGTGAATTTGTACTGGCGCGGTCACTCGGCTGTTTTGGAGGCCTTTGTGCTTCGGTCTGAATGATGTTTTTTTTTTTCCTCTCTCCTTCCTGCAGCACACCATCAGAGCGCCTAAAGAAGGAGTGATCAAACGAGTTTTCTTCAAGGAAGGCGCCACAGCCAACAGGCAGGCCGCGCTGGTGGAACTGGAGGAAGACAAGGAGCAGGAAGCAGGCAGTGAAGAATAGGCTATGAAATGCCCTGCGTGTGTGTGTGTGTGTGGGCGAATGAGTGCATACAGGTGCACGAGTGTGTGTGTGTGCAGGGAAAACAGGACAAAGTCAAAGCCTGTGGTGGCAAATACTTGGTGAGACAGTAACTGTAGTAATACATGTTGAAAATGTCAGCTAGCTCTGTACGTCACCTGTCAGGGAAGAAACAATGAACATAGAAAAAGTTTTTTGTACCAGTTTCCTTTAAACACCTTGAACAACATTAAAAAGAACAACTCCTCCCCGTCGTCTATATCATCTGTTGTGAGGGCACGTCCTCGGTGGTGCGTTGCCCTTGATGTCCCGCTGCCGTATCCATGGGAACCAGACTTCGTTCACTGTGGCGCACCTTGTCGCACCGCGTCTCCGTCTCCCGTGGTGCCCAGTGCAGTCGTGTGCCGAGGGACCTTTCTCTTGAAAGTTACGGCCAAAAACTCGTGAGCGAGTTGTGCTCCCTTACAAACCCTCCACCAGGCTGAAGGCAGGTGGCCTTTTGCTCTGCCTGGAAGAGGGCAGTCGGCCAAGAATCGCGTAGCTAACGCACACGCGGGGCAGGGAGGTGTTGTTGTCCCCTCCCCCGAGGGACAGGCTGTGTTCAGGGCTGTGGCCCCCACCTGAGCCCTCACCTGTGTCTGCTGGACTGCCGGCGTGCAGCACACACAGGCCGGGAGACAGACAGACTCCAGCTCCTCCCCCGGGCTGAATCCCTGGACAGCGCTCTTCCGTGTGGAGTCTACCAGACCGTGCTCAAAGCTCAGCACTTTCCCAGGTGTGTGGAGTCTGGGGACGAGTGCGATGTTTTAGTTCAGTTTTCCTCAGAGGAAGGATGATGGACTGGAATCAGGTTCTTTGTCCAGCATAAAGTTAGATGATTGAAAGGTGCCTTAAAAAGCAATAAATATTTTAAAGCATCAAAGATAAGTTACTTACTTATAATGATGATACTGTAAGTGATGTAAATTAATATTGAATAATGGAATCATTAATAGTTTAATCAATCAAAACAGTCTAACAAATAAACATTCTTTTATGTTTGGATTCAAGGTGGTATTTTATTTGTACATTAAATGCTGCCAAAAATGATAACAGTATAACACTAAACACAAGTAAATAAACATGTTCAAATACAAAATTGGTTCACATCATGTTACAACAGATATAGCATTTTCTTCATATCTCAAAGCTGCTCTAATGTTTTTCCTAGTTGATTTATTAAATTCTCCAACCTCCTTCAGGTGTGATTCCTAAAAACACAGCAAAACTGGCCAGACAGGCTTCGATCTACCACTCAGTTTCCTTCTTAAGAAGAGAGCAAGACAGGCCTCAGGGTTCAGGAAAGTCTCATGAGCTGCCCATCTCGTATCACAAACCTGGCTGTGGTCTGTGGGGTTTGTGCAGCAGAGATGGGCTCTGCGTAGCTGTGCACCTTATACTTCCAGGGAGCAGTGTGTGTGCTGCAGGACTTGTCCGTCTGGGTGCGGCTGTGAATTCTGGGATCGTGCCAGTTGGTGCGGCCAGCGGGTGATGCCTCCGGGACCGGAGTCACGATGTCTGGCTGGCGCAGAGGGTCCTCTTGCACAGGAGGCCTTTGTTCGGGCCTCTCTGTGAACCACACCGCCGAGAGGCTGCAAGGCACGGGAAGGCCAGGCCTGTCCCAGGGGCCGCCTGGCCACTCGTCTGTGCTGGGCTGGGTCACTGGAGGGGGTTCAGAGACTGATGGCAGTGACTCCTCTGCACCCGAGCTGGAGCACTGCGAATCGCAAATCGCACTGCGGACCCTGCCAGAAAGCTGGGCCGGACTGCCGTTGGACGCAGTGGGAGGATTAATTTTAACATTATCAGCTTCTGCGCGAGACTCCGTTTCACACATCTGTCTCTCTTGAACAGGGATTTTGCCATCAGCATAACAGGCCTTTATTCCAGGGAGCTCAATGTCATATGAGTCTTTATTTACAGACAGAGGCTCATTATTCCTGCCCAAGACCAAGCTGGGAATTCCTGTAGCCGTTTGTTTGGAGTCAGAATTGTGGCTTTCATTGCCCTCTTGCTTTGTGTCCTGTTTATCATCTGTCTGGCTCTTGGCATGGCTTAAAGATCTCTCCTGAGCACTGCTGAAAGATCTCCCCTGAGCGTTGCTGTTTGTGTATTCCTCCAGTCCCACAGATGCCGTGTTCAACAAAACTTGTGGGTTGTGTTCCCCGTAACTTTCAGGATCATTTTCACAACTGACCGTCCAACTGGCTGAGTCTTCTGAAACAGGATATTCTTTGCCATAGCACTGTAGAGATGATTCAGCAGGTAACTGCATGTGTTCAGCTTTTGAGGAACTTGAATGCTGTTTCAAAGTACGTGTTTCAGCTATTTCCTGAGGACTGTCTGCTCTAACAAAAGGCAGAGTTAGAAAAGCACTTTTAGCACTGTTCTTATTCAACTTTTCCTTGGGCAGCCCTGTAACTTTGCTTACAGGCTCCGTTTGAGGAGCTAATTTATCCGATAGAGCTGTCTGCCAGTGTGATGCCAGGCTCAGTCCTTCAGAGGAGCTCACTTTCCCATTGACATCTTTCCCAGAATGATCAGTGTCCCCGCCTGAGGCCTGGCTGGCCCTCAGGGCTGCCTTCTCCTCTCCTGGACTGCTCAGCGTGAGCCTCTCCAGCTCAGGCCTGAGGCCGCGCTTGGTGAATCTGGACTGAAGGAGCTGGAACCTGGTGGGTCTCGGCTTCAGTGCTGCTGCCTCCTTCATCTGTATCCCTCTTCCTCCACTGGTGGCTCCCGAAGGCTCCCCATTCCCAGGGGAACTGGCTTTGGCCTTCTCCAGGCTGGCCATGTAGTTGAGGAGGTTATGCACTTCGTCTGCCTTGCGCCTGCTGGACAGTTTTTTCACCGCCTGTCGTAGAGCAGTGATCGCACGGGAGGGTGTGGAGCTCTTGTCAGGCTGTGACCTGCAAGGCAATGAAAACCAGGAGCCTCTGACCGGCACATTGACAGGGGATCTAGAATGAGCGCTGCCTGTACTCTAGTTAGCAGAAGCATACAGTAGTGAAACAGGACACAAGGAAACAATGTATATCAAGCAGATTGCCGCCCCACCCAAAAAAAAGAAAGTTGAAAAAGAAATGGACTGTTTTCTCATGATGTTTGAAGTGTCAAGGACTTTTTGCAAAGACAGCTGTTTATAAATATAATCCCAAATTCAATCACATGTACATCCAATATGTGATTAAAAAATATAATTTTGCAGGACAGAATAAATTCCTATTTTTCAGTGATGTATTTGCCACCATCTTTAAAACAGATTTCTCTGCTCAGAGCGCAATCAGTGCTGTGTACCAGTAGACTCCTGCCTATGTGAGCTGAAACCAAGGTTTCTGTGCACTCTTGGTTCAGTTTGCAATTTCTCTCCGGAGAAGGAATTAAAGTCTGAGCATAAGGGAAGCATTCAAAGGTGTTTCCTGTGTTAGATGTCGTTCATTTTAAATGATTGATTACCTTCCTCCACCTGTGCTATGGTATAAGGCCTGTCCTAGTTTTTCCATCTGCTCCTTCAATTGGAGGTTTTGGAGAAAAGGTGCAGGAATGTTATCAGTCCCATAGAGGAGGCCATACAGGGCTGCAGCGATGGTGCCAGTAGATTCACTGTCTCCTACAGTGTCATATCGAGAAAAGGCAAAGGGATTACCCTGCACATGAATATGAAGTCTTATTTTGTAAGGCCAATATTGTCACCATTTTCCTCCTCACAGATAAACCGTACAACAGAAGCATCATCTGCTTTGAGTCAGCACTTAAGAACCCAGCTGCATCACAGCTGAAGGCTCTCCAGCTGGTTATAAGGGTGAGCTGTGCTCCCACAGCCCTTACACTGTAAGTTGCTCTACTGCTCCGTACCTCCGTGGAACGTGGCCCATTGACAGAGCTTGTTCCAGTCTGCCCCTGCGGCCAGCATTGCGTCATAGGCGATCAGCGGCACCTCCAGACCCTGCCTCCTTCCGGACGATTCGGCGCACCAGCGTTTGTACAGCTGCCAACCCAAAATGTGACATCGGGGTGAAATTTATCCTGGAAGCGCCTTGCTGCAGGTGAAGATCCTTTCAGCTTTGTCTTTGCGTGGGTGCAGAAGCAGAGGACGTGCTGCTCAATCAGCATCGAGCCACTATCAGACCGCGTCACTCCCTGACTTTCCTGGCACCTTCATAAATGCCTCCCAGCTACAAGTGTCATCTGGAAACAGCACACAGCCAGGAAAGCCCTGACGTCTGCATGCATGTAACAAATGGCTGAGTGTGGCTAGACATGTTCAACTAACATGCTTTTCACTTTTTTCTTTAAGTGTTCAAATCCGCTCCCTGGTTCTCTTAGTTTTAAGTTTATGGCATTGCTATTCTAAATGTGAAATTGCACACTTCTCAGGATAAGGATTATAATAAGAGGTTTTTGCACACTTTGCCTGTTTGATTACTGCAACTAATGCCTTTCTGAGTCATGAAGTCTATCTGCAGTCACTCTCTGCAGAATCTCTGGCTATGGTTTTTATCACAACTGCAGTGTTGTTCCTAGATGATCAGAAATACTTTATAATGCAGTTCTTAGTATAATGAGCATTTATGGTAAATTTAATAAACTTAATCAATAATTTGACATTCAGATTTTTTACACTTCACTTAAAAAGTTCTCATTATAGTACTTTGAATGGTTTTGGCAACTTTATTTGTATTTTCTATCCAGGCAAGACTGTTTTGGCTCAATAATTCTAAGAAAGAAAATAAACTGTGGCTAACAGGAAATGGTATTCCTGCATAGCATGTTTATTGTTACAAAATATTCCACACTGCCTCTGTTGCAATAATTGCAAAATTAAATTTCAGTTAAGAATAGTTTAGAAACAAAAAGAGGCCATTTGGCCCATCTTGCACATTTGATATTTAAATCATTCCTTTATCTGAAATCCACCATTTTTTAATTATCTTAGAATGTGTCTGCTTTTTAACTGCTCTATCTTATTGCAGTGTCTAGCAAATAATAAATGAATCAACATAAAAGCATAAGTGGCCTCTTCTAGAGCACTGTTTTTCATTTCCTATTTAGAATTCATGTTTTTACTACCTGCATGCAAAACAATACACTTGTCCACATTAAATTCCATCTATCAGATCTTTGTTCAGCCTTGAATTTTACCTAAATCATTTGCAATTTCATTCACTGCTTTTAGATCATCTGTCAATTCTCCTGATTTAGTATAGTCTACAAACGAGAACAGTTTACTAAGTTACTATACCAGAATGTAGATCACTGATATAAACTGGCCTTTATAATCTAGCCCGATTACAGATGTATCTTTGTTAATGCTTCAGGTGAAGAGATAACCAAAATTGAACAAATACAACTAAAATATGTTAAAAAAATGGTTTTGAAGAGGACAGCCTCACCATAACAAAAATTTAGAAAATTCCCTCTAAAGGGAAAACAGAGAGAACACACACACCTGAGATGTGCTGTCTGCTTACCTTGCTTCTCTCTATGGAGCTGTAATTCTCAGAAAAGAATGGCTTCCCACAGCCCTCCTTGTCAATCCTCCTGAGCTGAAGGTAGAGCTGCCACTTGGCTTCGAAGTAAAGCCAGTCCTCACTATAATCTAGTGAGAAAATACAAATTAGGATGTGCAATAGCTTTGGGGAATTTCTGTACAGTCCCTCTACATAAATACTAATTTTGTTTCTATCCTTTGTTACCAATAAATTGTATTTTACTTAGACCTTTTAAAAGTACTAAACTAGGAGGTCTTCTCACGTAAAAAAGATTTGAGAATTGCATCACTTGAGAATTTGAACCAGTTTTCTTATGATTTTCTATATTTATGCAACCTGTGGTTATTCTATACAACCCATGCCAGCTCTGGAAGTCATCTCTATATGTGAACTTTGGTTGTCCATAAGTTTTTCCTGTGCAATTTGTCTTTAAGGTACCCCCACAAACTAGAAGCCAGGGATTCAAATTTCAATTCAGATTTGGCAGACAAGGCCAACTGTGACCACAGCATCTGTGAAATGATTCAAAATCATTTGATACGTTAATCTCTCAAACGATGTGGATGTTTAAACTTCCAGTGGCACTAAGCTCATAGCTCTGTGAGCACCATAAAAAATAAGAACACTTTTATTTGTATTATTTAAGCCTTCACCTTTTCTTAGATCATGATATGAAGGTAAATTTACAAACCAAATTAACTAAAAACTGAATAAAGACAACCTTTAAAAATAAATATAATTTTAAGTACCATGCAAATAAAATACGCTTTCCCACCACAATTTTTAAAATCTTTAAAAACACTTATACTGTACATTACAAAGCATCTTATCTGATTTTAACTATGCAACTAGACAAGTCCAGAAGGTAACATTGTGGCTGCTTTTTATCTGAGGTTACTAAAAAGTTAAAAGAATTACCCGATTAAATTTTAGATTTCTTACATTCTCATAGTTGGCATAATTCGGTATACATCTTTATACACTTACATATTAAGGAAAGATTCATTCCATGTGAAAGGTAAAGAAAAGGAATACTAGGTTTCAGCTGTGGAGCCTTCTTCAGGAATGAGGGTAAGTTTAATTTTTTTCAGTTTTTAGTTTTTTTAAACTCTCACTCTGTTTCTCTGTTACCTGAAGAAGGCCCCACAGCCGAAGCCTAGTGCTTCTCTACTGTTCTTCACCTTTCTGCAAGGAAACCTGTTGCTTTGTAGCCTGCGCATGCTGCCGGAGCTCCTTACTCAAACTTACATCTCTGTGTGTGTTTGCAGGACTGGCCAACATGTTTACAACATGGCTATTTCGGCTGTACCTGAAAATAGTGTTGTTCTCCTTCTGCAGTACTCCTCAGCCAGGGGCATCACTCCCAGCATCCTCTTCCCCCAGTGACTTGCCGGCTCTCCTTGTATGGCATAGGAGGCGAACAGCGCAGCACACAGACACCCGAGGTATCCTGCCAACAGAGTTACCCAATCTGCTGATAGGGTGTCCAAGCTTTTACAAAGCCCCCACTGCAGAGTTACTCCTTGATACGTACTCAAGCACACACACGCAGCCTGAGCTCACAGAAGAGGAATCTAGACAAGGAAGGCTTGAGTGGAACTGAAGGATTAGTTTGTTTCAAACCGCATTCGTGATCATATTCACATTCTGAGGGATACAAACTGCAATAACCATCCTTATTTCAATAAGACGCTTCTTTCTCCTCTATTCCAGAATGTTGGAACATATACTGTAGCTAAATTGTTAGTTTTCTCTTCGTTTGTGGAGCCAAACAGATGAAAACAGGGGACAGGTTTTCACAAACGTTTTCTGTAACTGGACTTCTTAGGATTGCGAGGATTGAGAATCCAGTCCATGGCGGCCTTGGATATATGTGAGCTAAAAGCTTGCATCTTTCCAGATGAAAAAGAATGAAGATGCTGGATATTTAAGAAATAGTAAGACTTTAATTAGCCCAAGTATATTTTAAACTCTTACCTGTAGGGTAGCTGTGTGTCATGAGGCCACACTCAGCACTGGCTTGAATAAGGTCATAAAGTTGATCAGGCTTTGAATAGCGCAGTCCTATACACAAACCTCTTACAGCTACACCAGTCTTATTTTCTGTAGAAAAAAAACAATTACTGTATTAAGCATTACATCATTTGATTTTTATAAAATGTCTGAGAATGCGTTTTCTGGACAAATGAACTGCAAGGCCCTTATCTGCTGTAGTGCACGATCTGTCAAAGCCAGCCTATAGTCTGCTCACAGTGTCGATCACTGGAAGGTGTCTTTCACACCGACTGGAATGCCCTGAGAGAGCAGGCATGGGGACAGACAGCTGTGTGCACACAAAGGGAAACCACTGCTGCAGTCAAGCCCAGGAGCCTGTTATAATTAGCCATTCTAAAAACTGCCGGCTACGACTGCAGCAGCCCAGCTTGGGAACAGCCAATCGGGAGGAGTAAACAGTTTCTTGACTGAATCAGGTACCTGTTTTGGTGTCGAGGGTAAAGTCTTTGCTGCAGCTCTGATGCCTTTCTACTGCAACAAGATATCGTTTCACAGCTTCTTTGTAGAAGGATTGCAGGCTGTCTGTGCCTAAAACAACACAAATATGTCATGTCTTTTTAAATAATTAATTCAATCATGTCTTTTTTGTTTTATTGGAACAGTGATACAATTATAATGATCTTTAATGTGGTTTGAGACGGAACACAGGGGTGAAAGGGAAATGTGTTCAGGTAGAACAGTTGGGAAATGTGCTCCACATCTTTTACATTTCAGATCAGCCCTTTTTGTTTCTTGCTAGAGTGTCTTCTGAATACACACATGCAACAGAAGCCTTTATACTCATTCGGTGTACAGTATGTTGTACTGATAAAAATGTAATATTCATAAAGCTAAATATGTCTGTTACAACAGTTACAATATGTCTGTTAAAATTATTCTTTACCATCAATTGAAAAGAAATTCTAGTCTGATTTCAGGTTTAGTTATTCTGACAATTTAAAATTGAATGAATTAAATGGTTATTTAAATTAAACTTAATTGATATGATATGGAAATGCAAAATGACACTGAAAATTCCAGACTGTGGTGAATCTGAAGATGGTCCACATACGGCACATACGCATTCACACTTGTAGACCTCTCTGCCATTTGCATCACACGCTTGCCTGTTATCAGAGCCTCTGCTGTAGCCATGTGCAGCAGGAAACCCAGGGGAAAGGGCTGCCTGTCGGAAGACTGCATCACCATCTCCAGGAGCTCTGAGCCCTCCTCCAGCTTCGGAAGGCTCTTCCAAAGGGCGTGCTGAGCGTTTAGGGAACCCACTCTGTTACCAGCCTCGGACAGGACCATCGCTGCTTGATAGTGCTCCATGGCTGCAAGAACTGCACTGACACCCACTCACGACCTGTGCTGAAAGAGCTGTCCCACTCTCTGCCTGCAGGGGGGGCAGCTGCGTCCAGTGCCTCAGAGCTGTGATCTCATCCCCTGCTCGCTGCCCTGCTTGGCAGACCGGCCGAAACAGCAGCGCGCGGGCATGACTCCTGAGGAATCTCTGCTCGGGCGTCCTCACCTGGCTGCCCTTCCTGGCAGAGCAGACGTGTTGTTCGCTGGAGGAATCGCCGCCACACATTGCCGTGGCTGAAGAATGAATTTGTTAAAGACAGCTGGCAGCAAGTAATAATTTACAGCCTTGTCAAGACAAACTATTTATACACATCCTCTATGCTCTCCTGCGATTATGTTCAGGTGTTGTTAAAAAGAAACCTCCCCAACTCTTTTAATACAGACATGACAGCGTACCATCGTTACTTCATCGTTACTTCACCGTTGCCCCACATCTATGATAAATTTCATTTAGTCCTACAGGGCTGAAGAGCACAGTGCTCAGAACACAGGGGAGCATTTTCATTCTCACAGTTTCCCTCAAATTCTTTTTGTCTTCCAATGTGCAACAGAAGCTCTTACACTCATTCAATGTGTGTAAAGAAGAACCTTATTCTTTGTTTATTCCGGCCATATGGAGGAAAAACTGAAAGAAGTATCATAAAAAGCGTATTTTAGACATTCCCTGAGATATTAAAGGTACATGATATTACATTTGAAAAAACAAAGAAAACATCTATATAAATTAAGTATATTTAATTATGGATGAATACAGTACATGTTTAAATTTCAAATAATGTTTTTAAAATACAGAAGTATATTTCTAAAGATACACATGACACAAGCTTTTGTATATTTCTGTTACATAGGAAGGAGGTTCCAGTTTGGCACTGATGATGAAAGACCCTCCATTAGTGCTTTAAAGCATAGGGACCGTGGATTGTTTTTCCTGATTGTTGTATTTGTATAAATTGCTTCATTAATTAATGATTCAGATGTTATCATTAAACACATAGTGTCACAGTTTAATTAAAAACACACAATGAAACAAAGGAATAACTGTGTGCATGTAATTGCACCATGACAGTCTGACAATCTTTCTATTGCCAGAAAATTATTGTGGGGGTCTCTGGTATGCTGGTGTTGCAATTCTAATTTATAATTCAACCCAAACATCTTCTCTGTAAGATCAGCATGTTAATTTGTTTTGATTATTACTATGGTGCCACCACTACACTTCACAGAGTACAGTGGGTAGCCTTGTTGAACACCCTGAATGTTCAATGAATCATGTTTAGATTTTTTTTGCATAATTTCTTTGTTTGTATTTATATATTCAATACTGTTTCGTAAAGAGCACTGTAAATAAAACTGCATTCTTACAGTATACATATAAACCTGTGTGTAATCTTCATCAAGTGGGTAAGAGCAACGCTGCCCCCATCCAGTGTTCAGTGATGACTGAACATTATCAGTAAGATAATGAAAAGACACACCTCTGATCCCTAATCCCTTCAGTTCCACAGTGGTCTCACATTCAGCTCCCTGAGACTCTGGATCTGCTCGTGCTTGATTAGACCAGGTGAAATGCAGTGAGCATCAGTCAGCATTGAGTCAATCAACTCATTTCAAGTCAAGTCCACTTACTTTTTCACAAAGCTCTGTGGTCCATCAAGCTTCCTACCCGGTTAATGACTTTGAAAGCAACTCATGTCAGCAGCAAAGGCTTAATTGTGCACAGTATAGCGCCATGGAGGAAGGGGAGGTGAAACCAGAGTCATTAAGGTACCAATCACAGCAGCCATATCACCCTGCAGCTCACAACTGGCAGCCCACTGAAGCTCAGCAGGTGTGAGCCAGGCCAGTACCTGGACGGGAGACTCCTGGGAAAGCTAACGTTGCTGCTGGAAGAGATGTTAGTGGGGCCAGTAGGGGGTGCTCTCTCTGTAGTCTGTGTGTGTCCTAATGCCCCAGTAGAGTATAGACTGTAAAAATGTGCTGGCTTTCAGATGAGATGTAAAATTGAGGTCTGACTCCCTTTGGTCATCAAAACCCTGTGGGGGCAGAGGTGGCACTGTGACTAAGGATCTGTGCCTGTGGCTGGAAGGTTGCTGGTTCAAAATCCGTTACTTTGAAATAACAAAACCTTACAGAAATACCCCTTTATATTATAAACGTGTTTTCTTCTAAAATAGTTTTGTGAGTTTCGTCTAAAATAGTTTCGTGTAAAACAGAGAGTGGGGAGGTTAGGGGTTTCCTCCTGTACCGGGTTCAATTCATTGTTGGTGCAGCCCGGGGAAGCCGGGGACGCCGGCTCGGCGCGGGGTGGGCTGGTCCACCGCCCGGCGGAGAGACAGGCCCGGCAGTGGAGCCCACTCGAGGCCCGTGGATGATCAGGGCAGAGGCTGTAGTACCAGGATATAATGGGCGGAGGCAGGTCGTTAACAAGATACGTTAATTCATTCCTTCAATTAAGAGAAAAGAAAAAAAAAACTATTTTAGAAGAACACGTTTATAATATAAAGGGGGTATTTTCCTGTAAGGTCTTCTTTGTTATTTCAAAGTAACGGAATTCAGTTCACTGCCGACCTGCATGATGTGTTTCTATGAAGCCCTCCTGTCTTTGGTGTGTGGGGGGACTTGCTGGTCCTGCCCCGTGTGAGGCTCGGTGCGGCCCCGGGCGTGTGCAGGAGGGCCGCTCTGACGCTGGGCCAGGAGCCGGAGCGCACGGTGCGGCAGTGCGCATGAGCAGGAAGCAGCAGTGGGAGCCAGAGAGAGGGAGAGAGAGGGACAGAGGGAGCCTGTCAGTTACAAACATGGTGAGTGCGATTCCACTTTGTTGTGTTTTGTTTGCGGGCTCGCTTCCTTGATCTGCTTTCCCACCAGTCCCAACGCGGGCCGTGTCCCCTGCGCGGTATTGCGGGCTCGGGCGGCTGGTTTTGGGTCGGGGGGCAGGAGGGAGAGAGAGAGAGAGTGGGGAGGTTAGGGGTTTCCTCCTGTACCGGTTTCAATTCATTGTTGGTGCAGCCCGGGGAAGCCGGAGACGCCGGCTCGGCGCGGGGAGGGCTGCTCCACCGCCCGGCGGAGAGACAGGCCCGGCAGTGGAGCCCACTCGAGGCCCGTGGATGATCAGGGCCCGGGTGCGCGGAGGCTGTAGTACCGGGATATAATGCACGGAGGCAGGTCCTTCTCTGTTTTTGACAGATATTGTTGTAAGAAGGCAATGGGACGAAAGCCTCTCACCTTTGTGAAATAATTTATTTTACTGACGCCTGTAGTTCGTGGCTCTGGATTTGTATTTTTGCTCTCCGCTGTGCGAGGAGATGCTTGCCCAGTATCGTAAACCGCTGGAGGTGAGAGGAAACAAATCGCACGCTTGAGCAAACCCGGGGAAGCAGGACTGGTCCGTCGGGCAGACTCTAATCCACCGGCGGGGCCGGCGGTAGTGTTGCGGAAGGTGAGACCGGGGGAAGAGCTGTTTTACCGGCTGCACGCCGACGGAGCGCCCCGGCATCACGGAAGTGCTGCACAGCCTCTATGTCGGCAGCAGCAGGGGCTCCGACCGTTGGCAGGTTACAGCACAAGGTACAAGAAAGAAAGAAAACAAGGTCCCTTCGCCTGCATAAGATGCATTTTAAGTAATTCCCTGGCTATAGCGAAGCAGGCTGTTGACGGGTGGCTCAAGTGTAAACGCCGGTGAAATGGTTGGGGGTACCGGCGCAGGTGCGGCGGTGTTTGTCTTCAGATTTGTTGTCTCCTCTCCTGGTCGCCTCAGCCTCTCGCTTTCCACACTGTCGCTAGCGAGCCGACAGCAGCTCGCTGCGGGGCCACGTTGTGTAGTTCCTCCGATTAAAAGTCTGATTTCTCCGGATGGGATGGTGGAAGAGTCCTGCCAGATCAGGCTAGGTGTCGGTATCTGTAGACATCTAGTTCTGTGCCATTACCTTCCGAAATCAATCAGGAACAAGTTGTGATATTGAGGCAGCAAAAAGCTTTGGAAGTCCCTCTTTGCTTTGTACCAGTGCATCTCTTTCAAACATCTCTATTTTATGTAGAGAGACACAATGAAAAACGGAGCAGACACTCAGAATGATTGCAATGAGCAGGCTGTGCTGGCAGTAATGTGCTGGTTATCTCCCCCAGAACAAGCTGAAGTCCTCACAGAAGGATAAAGTTCGTCAGTTCATGATCTTCACCCAATCCAGTGAGAAGACTGCAGTGAGCTGCTTATCACAGAATGACTGGAAATTGGATGTTGCTACTGACAATTTTTTCCAAAACCCAGAACTTTACATCCGCGAGAGCCTAAAGGGGGTTTTGGACAGGAAAAAGTTAGAGCAGCTCTACAACAGGTACAGAGGTAAGCATGTAACATCCTCTTCCTCACATTCATGGCCAGACATTCTGGAAAGCCTTTAAAACATTCTGAAGCTCTTATTTCACATCCTTATATCACTGGCAAAGTGACTTTCTGAAAGCTGGGCAGTCAGCGCAATGCTTGTTCCAGAGCTGCACTAAAATAAGGAATAAGCAGGTATATGTTACACAACACCAGCCCCTTTCAGCTTTTGTTAGGAGTCTCATGTAACTCCTAAGAGGTGTGTAATGTCACAAGGAGAGAAGATATGAGTCACAGTGGTCAGAAGTACCCTGGGCACCATTCATCTCCACAAAGCCCTTCAGCTTTGTTTCCTGAAGTAAGCAAGTGTCTAAAGAAAAAATGTGCAGCATGAATCACCTGTTAACTCCCCTGGTGCAGGGAGATTAGGACTTGTCCTAAATATATGGTTTCGCTGTTCGGACACGTGACTAAAAATCATTTGCTGTGGTAGCTGTCCTCTGAGAGCAGCAGGCTCTGCCATGTTTTGAAGAGTCGCTGGTACTGCTGTCTTGCACTGATGTTTCAGATGCTGTCGGTTTGTCAGAATTCCTTTCTTTTGCCATGAGTGAGGAAGACCACCGCACCTTCAGTGGGCTCTTGATGGGCCAGAAATTATGTGAAATGAAATGAGGTGTTCACTGCACCCTCTCGAAGAATGAGCTGGCATGCAGCTGTAACAGGAAAAACACTCTTCTCCTTTTGTTGAAGAGCACTCCATCTGGACCTGTTCTTTTTCTTTCCTCAGATCCTCAAGATGATAACAAGATCGGTATAGATGGCATACAGCAGTTCTGTGACGATCTTGGACTTGATCCTGCTAGTATAAGTGTGCTGGTTATTGCTTGGAAATTCAGAGCAGCAACGCAGTGCGAGTTCTCAAAACAGGAGTTTATGGACGGTATGACTGAGCAAGGGTAAGCTAAAGATATACAGACACTCCCGGTCCTCGAGGGGGGTGGGTGGGGTATTGAGATTTTTGGTGCGATGGCCCACCACAAATGTTTATGGTTTAAAGATGGATTTCTGTGTTTTTGTCAAAATCTATAAATCGAGGAGCAGAAGGGTTATAAGGTGTGACCCCTGGGTCTCCTGTAATTCAATTGAGCCTGACTTAAACTGTTCTGTGTACGTATACCGACACACAAGGATAACACAGCAGTCTTAAGTTTGGTCACATGATGTCATTTCCATTTTACGTGGAGAGCAGGTTGTTGAATTGGATAGTTTCTTGGAATAACAATCATATGGGTTCCTACAAATAGTTAAGTGCTCAGAGCTGGATGTGTGTGTTGAGTTAAATTTGCATGAATGTATTGTTGAACATTCTGTGCAAACAGGCATTCAATAAAACATAACTGTATTGAACACGAGATCAGTGAAAGATGTCGCCACACCCTGCTTCAGTCATGAAGATCACCTGTTTGCTGTGGGCATGGATGACGGTGGCCTGTCTGTGAGGGATGGTGCCCTGAGAGTGAGATGTTCTGCTCCCACAAGCTGCACACTAGCGCAGAGAGACCTGGAAACTGGCTCTGTGAGCCACAAGCTGGTCCTGACAGGTAGATAGTCACCAGGATCCACCTGGTAGCAGAATGCAGACCGGCTGTCAGTGAAAAGGATATGCACACTAGGATGACAGTTTAGAGATGCAATCGTCCTCTTCTGTGGCCAGGGAACATCTAGGGTGGCACAGAGAGCAGTGTGGAGTTTTCATTCACCACTGGGCGCTGTCTCGCTCCCATCAGACCTGAGACCAAAGACTGGGTGAAAGAGTGAGGATGTTGGCCTGCTCACGCCAGCCAGTGGGGCTCTGAGAGTGCGATGATGTGGGCAGGGATTTCTTCAGACTGCACAGGGATGCACTGAGAGTCCTTCGGCCAACAGTGTTTCTTTTCTTACAAGCCAGTGCCAGTGTGATTAGGGTGTCCGCTAAGCAAATTCCACATAATTAAAGTGCGAAACATCCAGTGATGCATAACCTCACAGTGATGACACTGTAATAGAACATTACTAATGTCTTCGCACGGCTGTGGTCTTCTTGTAAGTCTGTTAGTAAAAATAGTTTCTAGTAATTGTTGATAAAAACTACCTTACACAAAGGGTTGTGGGGGTCAGGAACAAGCTACTTAGCCATGGCTTCAGAGACTGTACCCTGATGTCTTTCATGAAACAGCTAGATGAGATCCTCACATCAATAAGCCCCAGCTCCTTTGTAACCTTCCTTCTGTATAATAATATTTGCTTAGTAGACACTATTAATAGGACACTTAAGTAGAACCGTCTTCTAATACTATAACTGGTGACAGCGGTGACTGGTCAGCCTTGGCCAGCTAACAGCTGTGTGTCCAGAGGCTGACCAGGTCTGTGTGTCAGGGCTGCCAGGGTAGTGTTAAGGCTCTGGGAGGTCGTGATGCTAGCCTGGTTGTCCCTATTTTGACCGTGTGTAACGTTTAATATTGAAGGATTATTTAGATACTTTGACCCATACTTAAGTTCAGAAGTGTGTGATTTTGTTGGGCACCTGTGTTTAAAATCCATGTAACCCCAGATCTGTGTGTCATTTGTGCATCAGTGTAGCGATGTGGGAATTCTAGGTGAGCAGAGCATCAGGCTTGTTTATGGGCTCAGGGAACCTGGCAGTGATGTTGTCAGAGATTCTAATCTCTACTCACTTCAGGTGAATTTGTTTTGTACTTATAGAAGTGGGTGGAGCTGGGAGCCATGTGGCTGTACTTTACATTTTGTTTCCTGGATGTTTTTTTTTCCCCTCTACAAACTGTTTTTTTAAATCTGTGGTTTTAGAACCTTTTGCTGCAATTGTTACTGATGAAAAATCTTGTGTTTTGTCCAAGGTGTGACAGTATAGAAAAACTAAAAGCACAGCTGCCAAAAATGGAACAAGAGTTAAAAGACCAAGGGAAATTTAAGGATTTTTATCAGTTTACATTTAACTTTGCAAAGAACCCTGGGCAGAAAGGTTTAGGTATGTATGAACCTTGATTTTGTATTTTTTTTTAATGCTTTTTTGGCATTAGCTTCCAGAAGTATAGTACCTGAGGTAAAATATTTGTTTTTGAATTTGTTCCTCACAGATTTAGAAATGGCAATTGCATATTGGAATTTAGTACTTCAAGGAAGATTCAAATTCTTAGATCTGTGGAACAAGTTTTTATTGGTAAGTTATTCTTCATGTTTAAAACTGATCTTGTGTAAATAACGTGCCCAGTTTTATTGTTGATACTAATGTTAGAGCAGCTTGTGTTCCATCCAGAGGTCTTCTTTGCTGTTCTGATTAACCCCCAGGATCTCTTCCAACCACTTTTTGGTGGATTACAGGTAATCTGCTGCCAGAGCTGGGTCAGGTAGTTTTTACAGACCCTCGCAGAGAGGGAGGGGTACAGGCACGCCTCGTTTTCTGTCCTAAATAAACCTGGTCTTCAGTTTGATCTTGTCGATTCTTTATTTGTTCCAGTCTTGATTTTTAATTGCTTGAGTTGTAGTGTACTGTAACTTGAGTAGGACTCCCCTTGTGGTTTCCTCCTGAGTGTCAAGTTGCCTGATAATAATAATAATGATAGAGAGGGCTGACACTGTGGCCTTATGACTAAGAACATAAGAAAGGTCACTTCCACATCCCCCTGTGTGCCTCCTGTTCTTGGTTTTAAACGCTCTTCCAGCTACTACTCATGCCCTCCGGCGAGTGTTTTACTCTTCGCTCTGAAGTGTGTCCCTGATGCCAGCGTCTCCTCTCCCAGAGATGGGGTCACCTGCTGCACTGCCAGCTGTGCCAGTGCTGGCTTCAGAGGAGACTCTTCTGCAGTCTCGTTCTGATCTTCAGAAAAACAGGGATCAAGCAGATCTGTGATGCAGCACAGATGCTACGATGCAGAAATTTTGTTTGCTCACTCTTTTTCTTTTTGTCCTTTAGGAACATCATAAAAGGTCAATACCGAAAGACACCTGGAACCTACTCTTAGATTTCAGCACAATGATAGCTGATGACATGTCAAATTATGATGAGGAAGGTATATATCATCTGACTCTTCTAATCGTTACTAAGTGCAACAGACTTATTGTAAGGAGAAGTCAAGTTTTCTATTTTAAATTAGAGGCTTGAGTTGCAGAGCTAGTAGGAAGAATGTTTTTTAAAAGATAGGTCTTCTTTGACTTCAACAGAAGGGACACACTTCCACCCTATTTGTAAAATATACATTTAAAGATCTTCTAAAAAGATCTGGTAATGAAAGAACCTACAGAACTGTTGGGTAGTGTTATTGAGGAGGTTGATCTGTTGCTTTCTGTTTGTTCATATACAATGATGAATTGTAATTAAAGCTAAGAAGCCATGGGCTTTACTATTCTTGGCTTTGATTTCTGCTGTTTTGTAGGTGCGTGGCCAGTCCTTATTGATGACTTTGTGGAGTTTGCTCGACCACAGATTGGCACGAGAAGTACAACGGTCTAGTGCCGTCTAGTGAAAACCTCCTCCAGAATGTACATATTTTGTACAAGTCAAGTCACACCTGAAACTTGCAGTCAACAAAGCGCTGATGACTGGACTTTGCTGAAGATCAATCCTTCTGTTCCATTCTGAGGGTTGAGATGCAAGAGACATTCAAAAAAGCATATCTTATCAGTCATCTGATGGTGGTTTGGGCTTCTATCTTTAGTATGGGCCTCCTTTTGTATTTATTACAGCCAGCTGGAGTTTGTCCACTCTTCTGGGCTATCGTTAATATTCTTTTACCAGTCTTAGGTCTGTGCTGTTTGTTTGAAGCATCAGTTATATACATGAAGCACAATTCTGTCTTCAAATCAGAAAACGAGGTTCTATTATCGAATGTCACGTACATCTTCCTTTTAATGCTCTTCAAAGCATTAGATCTTTGGCTTTTCCTTCATTTCTTATTTTAATAAAATTTTCAGTGACAGACCAGTACAAATTGTTTATTCTAACAATTTTTAAAGGAATATCTGGTTATTCCGATAGGGCAGAAACTATGATTTTGTGTAGATAATGATTGCATTAATTAGGCATATATAAAATGATCAGTGGCCACTTGTTGCTTATTATACCAGCGTTGATAATTTGTGCTCGTCTGCCACTTGTGAGATTGTCTGTAAAGGCTTCATGTAATTCAGGCTAATATGTGTTTTAATTTGTTTAACCCTATTTGGTGTGTACAAATTTTTACCTTTTAGAGAATTCTTTTTGCAAAAGAAAATGGTCAATACTGTTTTGATAAGTGTCTGCTGCTAGGTCTAATGACACAGTTCCTCTCACAGGAAATTGAAACTCCATCCGTTGAATTGAACAGTATTGTGAAAGTAACACTTCGAGAAGATACTTAATCTTGAAGGTTTATAAAGATGTAGTAGCCTGACTAACAGATCTGTCCTCTGAGTAAACCTTTCAGACTTCATCTTTGTATATGAGCCAAGACAGCAATGATTCTCTTCAGATTGCCGATCATTATTTTTTGAATTGTGAGAAACTTTATTTAGATAACTGTCATTCCTGTTGTCACTCTTGAAAAAATCTTCATGGGACGTAAGAAGGAGATAATGTTCGCTTATAAGATGAAAGCCAAAACAGTCCAGATTGATATGATGCTTTTTTAGGTTCTTTTCTACACTTATTTATAACAGAAATGAATTATAAAAGCAGTACAAGACTTGTGAGGTGGGGAACAGTTGGAAATGTACCAAGTTTTCACGTGTAATGGCAGGAATTCTTAACCGGAAAGATGCAAAAGGAAGTTTCCAACCTGCACAGAGCATCCTTTTTCCACTTTCTTGGGCAATGTTACTGCTGTCTATCTTCAAGTGTAACCACCTAAATAGTGTAAATTAATGTGGACTTGTATAAAATATGCATAAAGGTTAAATGGATACTCTCTGCTGTAATAAATTGGGAAAGGCTGTATTGAAAGAAAACATAAGAAAAAAATGTTCAAATGTTTTTTTTTCTTTTGTGCTGCATTATCTTAATGTCAAGTTATTGGAAAAATAATGTAAAATTCACATCCATGAAAAGACACATGACTATGAAGGCTTATTCAGATAGTGCTTTACTAACCAGCAGCAGAAAGGATATGGGGATTCAACTTTTTTTTCCTATGTTGCAGAAGGACTGTGGAATTCACTTTGATTTTATTTATACCTTTTTAAGTAAAGTTTTTGTACTGGCATTTGTAAAATCACATTTTTTTTCTGTTGAGGTGGGGAAGGCAGTTCAGAAGTGCTGGTTGACGGACAGAAACCATGTTCATGCTGCCTGTGCTCATCAAAATGTAAAGTCCTCCAAGCATTCACGAAAATTCAGAGTGGTACTGCATTGTTATAATTACTATGTAATTATAAAATAAATTGATTGAAGCTTGAAATGTCTTTGCTGAGCAGGTGAACCCTTGGTCTTACTCGAATGTCATGGAGTGCCTGTGCCTGTGACACAGTTGGTGGGTTTTTGTCAGGAACATGTTTAAAAAAATGTGAAGGGATTTAACTATTCTTTGGTGAGTAATATTTTCATCTATCCACCTTTCTTCTTTATAAAGTACTGATCACTTTGCACGTATCAAAGTGCTTTTAGTAATAGCACATTTCAATTTGACGAGTCTTTAAGTTCATTATGCTTCTGACAGAGTATTGTAGAACCTTCTGAGGGACTTGTTAAAATGCAGTCACCAAGATTTTGATAGACTGGATTATAGTGTGGTGTAATTATGGTTATGGAACAAAATTCTTGTACAGATGTAATCCAGAATGATATATGTAATCAATTATTTTAAACAAAAGCCTGTTCTTCCAAAAAATGCTAAATTAAAAGACTGATATAGATTGAATAGTCTGGTAGATGTAACTTAAGACACCTGTTTTATTAAAAAAAAAACTTAATTTTGTGATGTCAGCAGATAAGACTGAAAATGTGAAAAACCCCATATTTGGTTTTTGTGAATTGCAGTTATCTTTGCATTTTTGTGTTAGGGTCTGTTTAAATATATGCACAATATATGTGTAAACAAACTGCAGTATTTTTGTATTAGGTTCAGGATGGTTGAAATGAAAGGCCAGTGTTGTTTGCACACTGACAGAATAAGACACAAGAGAGGATTTTTCCATGAAATGGTGGTGAAGACCTGCATTTCTTTCTGCAGTTTTTAGAACTATCATTGGTCTGATTAGTTTGATCTTTATTTACAGTCCCGTACCAATATATGTGAAAATATTCTGTTCCATAGTAGAAGTGTGTTCCAGTTACTAGGGGGAATGGCCTAAATCAGTGGTATGGAGGATTGTAAAGTAGTAGCAAACCAGGCCTTCACTCTGTATTGCACTGTTTCCCAACCATTTCCAGGCCCAGTCACACCCCCATTAATAGAAATGTTGCATGACACACACCTCTGCACCCTTATGAATTATTGAACTGCTCTCAGTCTGAACTCTGAGCTTGTCTCAGTGAACAGAGTTGCTTCATCTCATCAGAAACCATTGACTGTGCCACTTGTCACAGCACACCCGATTTCAGACACTTTATTTCTAATTTTCACCAGGCTTGAAAAATGGACCTGGAAGAGCTAGGCTTCTGAAGAGGGCAATGAGCGATTGTAAAGATTTCTTGGTCCAGTATAAATGGATATTAGTTTGCCACTGTTATCCAGGAGGCCAATAGCATGTCATCAAAATTAATTTTTTATGTTTAAAAATAACAGGTCCCATGATGTTACAAAATGCATTACTGCTGTAAAATAATTCCTTACACTTATATGGTGCTATTTTCTGGACATTCCACTCAAAGTGCCTTACAGGTAATGGGGATCCCCTCCACCACCAGCAGTGTGCAGCCCCACCTGGATGATGCACCAGTACACTCCCCACACACCAGCTCTCAGTGGGGAGGAGAGCAGAGTGCACCAGTACACTCCCCACACACCAGCTCTCAGTGGTTCAGAGATGGGGATTATTAATGTGCCATGATTGATAAAGGCCTGGAGAAAATTTGGCCAGGACGCCAGGGTAATACTCTACTCTTTTCGAGAAACACCCTGGGATTTTTTTTCTGACTAGGGGGAGTCAGGACCTCAGTTTTGTTTTGAAGGACAGTACCTTTTTTTTTTTTTACAGAATAGTGTCCCTATCACTACTGCCCCCACTAACCTCTTCCAGCAGCAGCCTTAGCTTTCCCAGGAGTCTCCATCCAGCTACTGGCCAGTCTCACACCTGCTGAGCTCCAGTGGGTTGTCAGTTGTGAGTTACAGGGTGACAGTTTGCTATAAAAAAAGGCAGTGTTGCTCTTCTATCAGAACAGAGAGCAACTTCTCTTACAGAGCTTTATGTATAGTTGAGAACCCATTTCATCCACCACTGAAGGCAGCAGGATCCTGGTTATTGCACAACAGTATGTATGTTGCAACAGCCCCGGCAAGCACCAGATTATACAGAGAACTAAAACATTTCTTCATGAATGGGAAATTCAACTGAATAGAATGGAAACTAGCCCAGATTGTATGAGCCCATACAATTTTGTCAGGGAACTTAGGTGGACACTTGGTTTTAAAAAAAAAAAACAACCTGTATGTGCGTTTTTCTCAAAAACACATTACACAGTCTCCCTCATCAACTTGGCAGGCAAGAGTATGCTGCTTTTTTCCAGATGAAATGTCTTTTAAGAAAGACTTTAACCGATATAGGTGGAAAAGACACTCTGACAACCCACTGTGATTTGGATTTTCATTCTGCACTAATGCAGATAAAATCCAGCTAGTACGCCTTAATGATGGCAGTCCCAAAACTTGCAGCAAAAGTAGCACAGGGCTGATACCAGTCACAAATGTCCTTCAGCTTTTTAAAGCTGAAAGCAAAAAAAAAAAAAGGTCTTGCATAGAAAGACCAAATAACCAATGATTATGCTGTGATTAGCCTGTGTGAAAATCCAGAAGTGACAGGGGTTACAGGTTTAAGAGCTGATGTATGATGCAGAATGTCTGAACAAAAAATTACTGGCCTACAGTAAAGGAATGACATTTCCCAGCCACACTGAGCACATGTGGGGTGCTCTGAAGGCTCACAGCAGACAGTTCAGTTACTCACATTTTGTGGACAGATGCTTGGCTGGCAGAGTGTTCTCACATCTCCATGCACACCTGTGAACATCCAGCAGATTTAAGGCCATGTCGTCTTGCTGCTGGAGGTGGAAATGTCCTGCTCTTCGAGAGGACTGTTCTCTAACAGTGCTCGAAAGGGAGGTATGTCAGCTTATAGTCACTCCCACAAAAGCATCAGTTTCCCGTGTAAAAAAAGGCAAAAACAAAGCTAAGACTAAAGAACATCTTCCTACTTACCTGGCTCTCATAAACAAGCAATCAAACAGTGTACAAGTAACAGCATTTGTCTTTTATTTAATAAGAACAACAGAAACACACAGGAAAAAATGAAAGGTTTGACATGACATTCAAGTCAGACAGTGTCCAAGGTCCTACTGGGTTCTTATTGCTAAAGTACATAAACGGTTTGACTAGTAACCACAAATACAGGTCGATCCAGGTTTTGATGTTGTTTAAAAAAAGGCATACTTGTCAGCAAATTGAACTGCATTCCTGGTTTTAGGTACTTGTAAAATGAACTCTAATTTAAAAACGTATTAGAATAATTAAGAAATATAATATATAATACAATTTCCACTGCTTTCTTGTACTGTACTCTGCATACAGATTTAATTTACAACCTTTGAAATCACTTTAACAGTCTAGTCACCTTCTGACTTTACCCTTTAATCCATAATCGTACTTTTAAATAATTGCTATGGCCGGAAAAGTCACAAGAAAAAACATCAAGGGATTTTAATCAGCAGCATCTTCAAGTCTTCATTGCTCATACTGTTGAGGTAAGAGGTACTTTCCTCCATGAAAAAAACAAACAAAATTCCCAGAAGAATCTGTCAAATGACAGCCTGCAAAGAGAGACTGCAGGACATTGTCTTTCCTTGCACACTTCATGTTCACTGGTCACTACAGTTACACAGAAACAAATGATTTCACTGCTAGTCAGTTTAAAACGGTTGTCTCTTTCTGCTCTGCCCTTGCAATCCGGCAGCAAGCCATAGGCTTCCCATCACTGTGACCCCACGCCCTTCGAACAGCTGACAGTGACAGTGCAACAGCACTGAGAAGAAGTGGTCTAGTTAAAAAATGAGGATGAAATAATGACAAAGTTGATGGGGGATAACGTGTTGCAATGAGAGATTAAAAAAAAAATGTGCAAGCCATATTCTCCCAGCAGTTCAAAGCCTGACATGCAATACTCCTTTTCTCTCAGACAGGTTACAACATTAAAGCTGAGTAAAAGCTCAAGCAGATATGGAAGAGCCAGACTTTTATAAAATCTCTGCAGCGCAGCTCTCACATTTTCACACCTGAAAAATCAGGTCTTATAAAACTGAGAATATGGGTTTAAAGGATCACCTGTTTTCCTCAGGAAAGATGATAGATCCTTTAAACTAATGTCAAAAAGAGCTCATGTGAAGGCACAGGACCACTGCAAGCCACTAAAGCAAAAGCAGACATCACCGTTTCGGAGATTCACTGGATAAACTACAGATACTGCTCTTCCTCTGTTCTGACAAATTTCATAGACTGGTGTTAAAAACTGGTCTTTGGTGTCATTTTATTTCCTTTTCCTAATAACTGAAATTGTAAAAATAAAATTGGTCTAGGGGCCAAGATCTATAAGGCCCTGTGGGAGACGGACCCATAAATAACGGAGTAAGGCTCCTTCCAAAACTCAGACATAAGAGGTGGGATCTAAGCACAAGGCAACAGCAAGCTGTCGTGTCTCGGCCATTACTGTCCCCTGTACGTTAGCAATGAGAGGCCTCCACTGCCGACAGAGTCAAGATGCTTCGGTCATTCGAATAGACGGGATCCATGTCGCTCCACGATCTAAAAGCAGCAACAACAATGAACAGAAAAGGTTGAACATCTCAAAACTAGATTTAAGGTACTGTACATATCTCCCTAATGAAAGCAGCAGAGATCCTATCCTAAGTCTCCCCTGTACTGTCACAACTGAGGAAAAGACAGATGGACAGTTGTGTGAGATACTATCTCCTCTGTGGATACCTAGGGCATCTGTTTGCTTTTATTCCACAAGCATATTAAATATACTTGCACTGTTCTGCAGATTGTGTGACTTTTACCATCCATCCTTGCCCTGTCAGTGATCTCTCACCCTTACGCCTTCGTGACCTTTCAGAAAAGTCAGGAAGATGATCTGGATGCATTGTTCACACAATGACAAACCAAAAGACAAACACAAAGTGAAAATGGGGTGAGAATGCAAAATGCAAGTGGTTTCCGTGCACAAGCTTTAAATGGAATCATAGCAGTGACTGACATTTCACAGCCTATGGCTTTTTCTCAGATACACTGTATATAAACATCAGTACTAGCTGTGATTGGTCCAAGTAAAAACATTATACATTTTCATCCTGGAATATGTATGTTTTCAATGCATATATATAGACACACTATATACATATATGTAATGAAAAATACAAATTCAGGCTATTGCTGTACAGCGATTTACATTTTCTATAAATAGAAAAATATATGGCTTACTCTAATTCAGTTTTACAACGTCTTCACACATGCATTTAAAATAGTACTCATATTCATATCAAATTCCTAATATATATTATATTTAGCAGAGCTTTTCCAATAGCCCTTTTAACAGAGAGACATCGTGTTCGCGGTGTGGAAAGGCACTAGCGACAGCCCACGCTCTGGACATTTCTGAACTCATGTGGAACGCGCTGTGGGCACAGCTTGGACTGGAATATTTTTAGTACTCTCTGGGCTACGAAGTGGGTCAATTTCTCCCAGTCTACAGGGATTGTAAAAGACTAGATTGAAAAGAAAGTCTGAATGGGCACAGTAGGAAAGATGTGTGATCTATTACACTTACTGTTCAGACAACCGTTTTAAGATCAAAGGAGCTGGGGTTTTAAGATCAAAGGTAACCTGCTCCAGAACGGAGAACTGTTTTTAAGCCAGTTCAAGTGCATTAAAAGATCAATGCAAATTTCAAACTCTGCTCTATATACAAGTTAATCATACATGATCAGCACCAGTTGAGCAGGCATGTAAGCATACAGAATGAGAGCAGAATACAGTAACAACAGTATGTGATTCCCATATGTCCAAACCAACTCAAATACACGAGTACCGAGATGTTTGAAAAATATACCTCTTTGGAAAGTATTTAATATTAATTTAGTCTTAAATTTCAACACAAAGAGTAAACAATGTTCTGCAAATTTGGTTGCCTCAAAAGTAAGAAAACACAGATGATCACCAACAGGTCAGCAAAAAGCAGGAAACGAGAGAGAGAAAAATAGCAGTACTGGACCTCCGGACACTGCAGGGACACAGAGACTGGAAAAACGCATCACATGATTTAGAGTGTAACAGAGACAGCCCCATTTAGTCTTCTCATGCCCAAAACACCCATAAGGCTTCACACTTAGAAAATTTAAACCTGCTAAAGATGTAACATTCCTTTTGAAAACAAATGGGAAGTAATTATTTCTCTTGCTACCATCCCTACCACAACAAGGGCAAACCTGGACCCACACAGCAGTAAAAACAGAACAGTCTAGTCTGCTTAAAGGAAAAAGAGCCTCCAGTTTCGTCTCTTCTGGGCTACGAAGAAGGGAGTGTCATCATACCTGGAAGCTCCTTCCTAACACAAAGGGTTTCAGAAAAGAGGTCCAATTAGCAAAGTGTGCTGCTTTTCCAGAAAATAATGACTGACAATTCAAGGGCTAAGAATAAACTCTGAAACTGGAGTTTGTATTGCAGGAGAATAGTGAAAAGGGATCAACCTTTAAAGAGTACAGGTCAGCTTCGCCACGACCTTTAGAACACAATCTAAACACCCGGCAAAGGAATGTTACATATTTAACCATGAGAAACTAAGAGAGATGGACAAAAGGTTTGAACAGAAAGCAAATTCAAAAATTCTTCACCAAGGGGCACTGCAAAGACTGCATTTTCTTCTAAATTCTAATACAAGTCAAGGTTGTTTTTTGCTTAATGCGATGAAAAAAAAAAGAAAAAAATGCACTAAAAGACATTCATAATATGAAACGTGACAAATTATAGCAAAAACGTTTTAACAAGGTATCATTTTCCAGTTATGCTGAACATCAAACCTTTTGCAGACCTCGTACATAAAAACCGCTCAGCCACACAGATAAACACAGATACAGCCCCACGCCTTCAGGAGAGCAGGCGTTGTTTTGGGCTACTAGTGGGAGGGGGATGAGGACAGTTGTTTTAAAGAATTATACAGACACAGTAATCAAGACACCTGCGGGCAGACCAAGAAGTCCTGTATTATATACAACACACGAAATACTGAACCATAGGGATCAGAAAAACTAAAAAATATATATTTTCTCTCTCTATATACTTTTATTTTTTCCCCATAAAACTTGAAATGCCAGCACACCCCAAATCCTTAGTCCTGGGGTTCGGCAGTTCGGCGAACCCCTCGCATTCTGCGGGGATCTTACACATCGACAGCTGCAGGCTCTCCGCGCTCCAGCTTATAGGAGATGTGCCTGCAGCAGAGACTACTGAGAGAAACTCCACACCTGCGGACCCTCGACAGCTCACACCTCCCCATCACTCGCTCCAGCACTCTCCCCAGCGGTGCGCAAGCTGTCTGCCCGTCCGAGAAGCAGCACACCGAGTCCACGCAGCTGATGCCCCGACAGGTTTCAACAAGCTGTGGGGGGGAAGGGAGAGCCAGGCAGAAGAAGAGGAGATTAGGGAACAGGTCAGCGCGGAGTCTTCACAGAGAAACAGCCAGAGACCCTTCCCAGCTGTCCCTGCCGTTCAGACACAACTACAGGTGCTCTTTAAACTGCCACATCACTCAGCTGTGGAGCCTCACACCCAGGGCCCAGTGGCCAACGGTCATTCAGTGCCTGATCGTTTCTGGCCAACCTGCACCTCGGTTGTTTTTTATACCTACCTGTACAAGAATTACAGACTGACGGCGCTAAAGTATCCAATCAGCTCCTCTGCTCACAATCGGCAGTTTCTTCGCTTTGCTCAGCTCAGTCATTGTACAAATCTCTGACCAAAGTCTAAACAAGTATGTGATGCACTATGTACTATTAAGCACCATCAGCTCTGGAAGTGCATTTTATTGAAATACACAGACTTAACCTGGGTATGTTATGGTGTTATAGCACAAACTGGAGGGATAATGTTTTGACTTCCCTAGACAGTTCTCATTTTCCTGACTAAGTGTTAGACAATACCACACTTCAGAGTCTTAAGAGAGCTAAGCTTTATATTAAATTACACTTCCACCGTGTTCCGTTAAATAAACGGAACATCAAAACTAGTTTTGTATTCATTACTGTCTTACTTGGTAATGTCAAACGCAAAAGATTATTAATCTGGATGTTCTGCTATTTAATGATTAATGTATTCCCACTTAGTGTGCTGTATTCACATGAGAAATCCCTATGGGACAATTTTAGTGATTATAAAATGGAACAATCACCTTTGAAGCTAAAATACCTTTATGGACACTGAGAAAATAACATGGTTTGGAAATGCTAGATAAAGAGGAATGAAAGAATTTGATGAAAAGATGATAATGGCAATTAAATATTGGCTGACATTTTTGAAGTAAAACAAACAGTGAAGGAGGTGAAAAATGAAAGAACTGAATTTTGGTGTAAAATGTTTTTTCCTCCCACTGAATTCAATTTGCAAAGACTAGCTGGCTCACATCTGCAGCCTCACAGCAAAGGAAGCAAATCCTGCTCCCACTGCAGCCCTGCAGAGACCACAGCAGAGCCAGTGCGGAGAGCGCCCCCAGCAGGCAGGCCAGTGCAGAGCAGCCCCTGCTCTCCACGCAGACAGCATTACTGCAGCCAACTGCTGTCAGGCTGAAACATTTTTTAAAACTGCCACTGCCTCACCTTCTCAACTTGCAAAACATGAGCATGCTATTCAGCTCATGATGACATCCAGCATTTGCAAGAATTACTTTAGTATACTTTAAGAGGAAGAGCCCTAGACAAATGTGAGAACACACCCTTGAGAAATGATGTTTGCCAAAGGACTGCAAAATAAGTGTAATTTAAAGAACATGTCCAATGCTCTTGTCATAAAATATTACTAAAGTATTTCATGTACCTTCATCAGAATTACATACACAAAAACCCTTCTCCAACAATACCTCCTAAGTTATATTTTTCAACTTCTTTCCCTGTGTCTTAAGTGATTCATTCAGAAGGAGGTTCTGCCTGATGATATCAACAGTGTGAGACCAGGTGATGCTCTAACTCCTGAAAATGGCTAAAATCTCCAGTCCAGCAAACAACTCAAAGAAAGACCATGCAGTACTTCATCCGAGCATGTAGTTCAGGTATTGTGGACAGCAGCAGACAAACAGGGGTTCTGGGAGCCGGGAGAGAGACACCCTGATGGGGGAAAATTTGGCCTATTGACTCCCAGCGGGACGCCCACATTGCCATCTTCCTAATAATCCTTATGAAAACTGCTAAAAATGGTTAATTTTATCAAGAGTTGACTTTTAAATAATTTACCCCACACTCGCTTAGCAAGAGCCGTCTCAAATGCGCTGCCAATCGCAAAAACAGCACTTCCAGGTCATTTACAAAACACAACAAAGAAAAAAATAATTTGTCTGTTAAGTGTTGCATGACATATTCCACGACCAAGTTAAATTATTTGAACTGACGGGATTAAGCTAGCCAGGCATTTCCCTGTTAATTAGTCTGTTACGAAGAAGCAAAGCCATCATAACACAAGCATAAACAGCCTGGTACAAACTGTACAAGAGGAAATCTAGACCAGCCAGATCTCCAGAAGAAGACTGGTCTTATTGTTGGTTACTACAACACTGAATTCATGCTGCACTGAGATCAAGTCATGAAAATCACTTCCTTTTCCCCAGCAGACAACAAAGATACTTTCGCATCATTATTTTGAAGAATAGGAGTTGAAGAGCTTGAAGATAAATAAAACTGATTTGAAAAAAAAACAAAACTTAAAAAGACCCTTCAAACTAGGATAGGGATGAGAATGCAAACTAAAGAAAAATAAGTGATTAAAATATGACTTTATTCAAAATAAGTAAAAACAGGACAGCACAGGATTAATGTGGCAGTTGATTTTTTGGAAAATATATTCCTGTAGAAAATAACATGGCTGAAATGTCTTACAAAAAGTGTATAAAACTGCTCTAGCAAAAATGACATCTGGGGAAAAGACACAACATACAATTACAAACAAGTGCCTTTGAAAGGCCTTTTGTTCATGAGATGATATGATTACAGTAGGAATACCCAACATGTCAGCCTCCACAAGGCACATAAGGCTCTGTACTAAGGATAAGACAATACAGCACATGAGACCACAAGAACTCACAATATACAGACACAGGAGCAAACATGCCAGCATTCTCTATGGCTTTTCCCCATTGCCTGTCTACACAAGCTCTCCCCTGCGTCCCTCCTTGCCTACACGGGGATGGGCTGATGATGGGGTCCCAGTGTGCAAGCACACAGCGGCTGGATGGGAGTACTACCTAGGGCTCGTTAGGACTGCCCTGCTGGCTGGATGAATCAGCTAACAGTTGCCAATTGTCCTCGCCTCTGCTCCTGCCTTCAGCAAAGTCATATTCTGAGCTGACTGAAATTTTATCCTCTTCCATCTAGAAGGACAAAAAACTTGTAAGTGTCAAAAAAAAGTCACTATTTCTGCATAAGGAGAGTTACAGAAAGCTCCTTCGGGATTCCTCGTCGATTGTTGGTCCTTTTGGCACCAGTGTAAAAGACCTGCGTTAGGCCTGGTGTCATGCTGGCCTCCGTGCTGAAGTACAGCAGGTGTCCGACTTAGGGTGACAGGAATCGTGGTGGCAGATAAACGTGCAAACAGGGGAGTAAAGACAAGAGAGTCGCAGGTTTTGGGATCAGAAACCATATTTTTACGATCTTAAACCGAGGAATGTTCGGATTTGAAATTAGGAACTGACACACATTGTACTTCGTGTGTACTAAGAACTGGTGTTTTCACTGCAATTGAAGAAGCTTTCTGAACACTTCTTATTGCACAGTTATCATCTCACTTTCTGTTGAGGCATGCTTAAAAAACAGTCATTTCTTTCGAGAGCATGCACATTCCTCATTTCCAAATGCAGCCTCTTATTAAAGCTGTGACACGGATTCAGAGGAAGGGTCGATTAAACCCTTTCCAAAGCAAAGGCTGTGCCCAGAACAACATAATATGTTCTTGAAACAGCTGATCCATTCAGCTACTTCACTAGGCTGATATCATCAGTTTCAATAGTTTCCTACAGTGTCAAAATTCTAAATATGGAACAGCCCTAACAAAAATCTACTGTACTGTATCAGATGCAAAAACGAAGATACTATCAATGGATCATGCAACACAGTAAGAATGTAAACCTCACATGCCCAGATATAGCTTTCAAGCATGCAGGAGCACAATTTGGTGAATGAAGACAGATATTGTAACTGTCATGCGTGGACGCTCACTCCTCAGCTGCTGGGGAAAGCATTGAAGCTTCTTAGTAGAACTGAGTTGTAAAATACTTTCTCTGCTTACATGCAAGCTAACGCGGGGTTACTGCCTCTCCACATTCTCAGTCTGACTTGTCTCTCCCTCCCCTGAATGCTGGTTAGTTTGTCTTCCACATGCAGAAGGGCAGGTGACTGGCTTTCCTACTCTACCTAATTTTTCCCAGCTGATTCTTGGCTCTGGACAAGGGCTGCAGAGCGATGAAGTCATCACCTAAAGCAACTCTGTTGGAGTACATCTACAGAGCAGACAGAAGAGGGCAGGAACACACAAGAGGTCAGTAAGGGAGAGAAGACACTAAAAACAACTTGCTGGAGGTATTTCACACACATGACAGACCAAGGTAGGAGAAGACCGTTAATCTGTGGCCAGGCACTGAAGAGTCATTTTCCTAGGAGCGCTGTCCAAAAACACTTCACTCTCCAAGAAAAAGAAAGAGTTTTGAGAAGTTGAGAAATGTTTGGTTACACTTCCCGGCCTTGAGAATAAACATTTCAGCAATGTAGAACGGAATGGATTTCTTCGATCTATTCACTAGATTTTCTGCTTTTCTGCACACATTTAACTCAGACCATCTCTGTATATACATAAGCACACAGAACACACTTGCAAGCTCTGATACACTATGATCAAAGCACTTGCATAAAAGCTCTACAAATTTACAGAAGGACTAAGTGATCTAAATGCTTCAGGAATCTGACATTTCTTATACTGTATAACTGATGCCCAGAATAATTAAGAACGACAGGCACAGACTGCCCAAAATTAGCAACACTGCAGAAATACATTCTGGTTTTGAAATTCTCATTTCTCGGCTGCAGAATCACAAAATCAGCTGATTATATCCTGATCTATTAGAAGAAAAGCACCACTTTAAAAGTGAAATAAGAAACAGAAAAAAGTGATGGGTTTGCATTTAAAATGTCTTTTTCAGACATGAAATTCAATTTAATGTTTTTATTTATTATTTTAAGATTGTTTTATAAATTAAAGGCTAATATAGTTTTTAACATTTTACGTTTTAGCAAATCGGTTTTCCTGTTCCAGCTGTCTGTCAGATGACTGCTGTGAAACACACCTACTCAAGATATCCATAGGAAAAAAAAACAAGGAATTTATGTGAAATTAATAAAAATTATTCTGTTACCTCACATCTGCTCTGGTAGGATATGTCACTTCCTCAGAAATCTAACACTTCCACACTGCTAAACCCTGCCAGCTAGGAAGCAAGGATTTATATTGTTTGCAAATGTTCATTAAGAACATACAATTTGCTGTGGTTGCACATGACAAAATGTATTAATCGCAACCCTGACGTTTTGTGAAAACAGCAAGTCCTGCAGGAAGCATTTTCTTATAGTCCCTATATCAAGTCAAACGGATATACATTTTAATGCATCAGTTGTAACTCAAACATTTAAACATTTTCTTTCATACTCATTTTTAAATATCATTTTAGATATTTTTTAGATCTCTTCTTAGATATTTCTAGATTTCTTAGGATGACAATTTTCAGGTCTATTTTAATGTCACAGCAGAATTTCACTGTAAAACAGCAGAAAGGAGTATTCTCACATACAATTTAGAAAGGTGAACTTCAGCTATGTTGAAATGTTTTGTTGCAGCAGGCTGTTCCAATACCAGTATAGTATCGGACTCTCTAAGCCTCAGCACATTTCCGCCAGCTTTGAGCTGAATGACTTCAGCAAGTAAGGAAACATCAGTCTTCTGCCAAGTCCAGCTCTGCACTCAGCAGTCACATAAACCAGCCAGCTCTAATTCCTAGGGTGTAAAATTCGCATTGAACTCAATATGCTTAATTAAATATTGTATTAATACTTTAAGAGCTTGTAGGTGAAAACCCTAGTTGTGTCTTGTAAGCCAAGTAAGAGCCTGTTATTTCAAATCAGTGGAACATTTGATTAAGATTTAAAAAAAATCGGGTAACAAATAGGTAACATTAGATATTTGCCCTAAGGGCACATAAATATTTTATTGCATATCTGTTCTTATCCTAACAGCCTGCGTGTGAACCTCCTCTTCTGAGAAATGCCTGTGCTGGGCCCGTCAGCGAAGTGTGTGGTTTGCATCGTGCTTGCAGAGCGCTGAGCGTCCCCACACCTCACAGACCTTCCCCCTGTCCCAGTGATGAGTCCTTTCTTCCCCACAGGAGGCATAGGGGGGAGGAATGTGCACTGACACCTCGAAAATAACAGAATAACCTTGACTTAAAAATAAACGGGCGTGTATGGTCTTTTTACAAGCTTACACTCCTGGTTTCGACTGCATGAGCTGGAGATAGGGGCTTTCTCACTGCCACTGTAAGGGGCGGTCGAACCCACAACCGCACAGACCAGTTTAAACAGTCTCCTCCAGTTAGAGGTTACTATGCCGTGGCCAAACTTACAGAATACCTTACTATTTCAATTGAGCGCAATCGGATGAACTTCCTTTCATAAACATGTCCTGAAAGGAACTCACCACTCCTTGTTCTGCAGTTAAAATCTTAACATTTCTGTCTTAGTTGTTATCTGAACTGGAGCCCCAACGATGTTCGTTAAAACTCACACCTAGAGAGCTTCAAATCAGATTCCCAGTTGTTTGATGTTGTCAGTTAAAAAATTTTAAGCATTCACTCTCACTTGTTTTACATACACTGCGATGGAGATATGGCCTGCAGACTACCTCCACTGAGGTCAAACACTGCAAGGGGTTCAACACAGGTTCAGAACATTTAAAATGTGTTTTCCCACCTGTTCAATGGCCAGAATAGCTCACAATAATCCAAACATCACTTTCCAGTGATCCAGGGTCAAAACGATGACTTGGGGGCTTTAAGTGGACAGTTCAGATAAGACATGCTTTGCTGCTTGTGGCTGCAGGTTACAACATGCTAAGCCATGCTCTGTGAGCAATGTATCAAGGGTGTGTGCATGCTTTCAGTTTCTGCATGGTGTTGCTCATATTAAATAACAGGGATAAAGAGAGGCAATGGTTTTTCCTCAGTCCTAGCTTGTGTTAACTGAACAATTTGATAGCAGTTTTAAAAATACTAGTTAATCAACAATGCTATATTTTTGTTACTTTAAGGAAGACGTCCTTTCAGCATGTACAGAGACATCTGCATAGGGGTTGCACATGGGTACTTGCCTGAGCCTTCTGGGTGTTTGTGGGCTGAACCTGTCTGTAAAAGATCTTCTTGATGGCATCAGGGAACAGACAGATGATGACTATGATGATAATGGCGAACCAGGCTGATCCACTGGAAAGAAGCTGAACGAAGACGAAGTACATGTCCTGTGTGTGTAAAAACGGCCTGTGGAAAAAACACAAAACAAATGTGACAAAGGACTTTGAGAAGCTACAAACACCCCCTTCCAGTGCCAAAGAACAATTGCATGACAACTACCACCGACAGGACAGCGCTACTGCGGCTGGAGAGCTCGGCAATTCAGGCAGCCGTGCAACTCGGCTGTCGAGACTCCCTGCTGCACTGAGGTCCTTCCTGCACCTGTCGTGTCTCCTGCAGTGCTGCAGCCGCTGCACTGAGGTCCTTCCTGCAC